CTCCAGTAGCCTGGTGCGACCAAAGCTTTGGTGCCTATGCGCAGACAGCTGTGAAAAGCCAGCTATTGCATTTCTGCCCGTCACCATTTCGCCACACCCGCTGCATGTTGGGGAGGGGATCTTTGGCGCTGTGTGACCGAAGTATGTGTGTACTATACGCATGGCTAATGTGGAGGTGAGCCAGTGTGACTTCGTTTCATATTCTAAATCAGCAGCGTGCATCCATCAGTCTGTGCAATTCTTCAAAGGCAGCGCGCGGCATACATGGCTGCGCGCGGCATACATGATTGCCAGGAGCTTTGCATATCACGTCGGGCTCAGCTGTCGTGACTACCCACAATATAAATTGACACTCGTCTCATTGTGTTGGTCACTGATCATACTTCAGTCCATTTTAACATTTTATATTTTTCAGGACTTGGCCAACATATTTCTGTTCAGTGTAGTAGGAACTAGAGCGGCCATTTCTGAGCCTGCAGGCTCCCAGCATGTGGGCTTAAATACCCCGCAGGACTTTTGGTAGATATTTCTAACAAAGTTGTATATAATGGTGGACTTTCACGATAGAAATTAGTCCAAAATGTGTATTTTCGACGCGAGTACACATCTTATCATTTGACTGACTCATTTATCAACACAAGTACACATCAATTATCTTTTACTGCAGCACAATAACTACTAATAAGCTTGAAGAAAAGCTTGACAAGATAGGTGATAATAAAGGAGCAGCATCGTCATGGTCAAGGTTTTTCAGATACCAAGCATACTCTTTCATAACTGCATCTGCCATGACTAAGTCAGTAACTTCATTAGCAGAATAATGTGGCTCAAGCAATGTACCACTGCTGCTCATAGTTTACTTATACAATATATAATAATACATACCTTCTGAATGGTTGAAATCTCCACAGCTCACCAAAGACCAAGAACCATTGTTAGCCTGTCAAAAAGTAGCGGTAGGTAATGTTAAATTTAATTCATAACGCTGAATACGCTTCATGAGAACACAATGCCCGGCAACGCTCAATTTATTATTATTTACTCAAAAATTTAGATTCAAGTGCTCAGGACATGCTCAACGACAAACGCCACCCAACGGGTCTTGCTTAGATTGAATCGAAAAGAGGGCCTTGCATTGGAGTGAAAACACATGCCAATTTCCGCAAAATTCGAAACACGTTACTACCTAACCAGTTGTCTGTAGCCCAGAACTTATCTGCAGACTGTAACCTAGATAAAGCAATGATGTCTACCGAATGCATGCCAAGTCTTCTGGTTTCGCCCACGGTTCGTTCAGCCGCCAGGATAATGGCGCACCAGCCGCAGCATCGAAGGACAATTGCGGCGCACATAGGTCGGTCTCGGCACAGCCAAGAGCACGAGCAGGGGTGGTCGACGTTGTCAGCTATTAACGGAGCTTGGGCAAATCGATGCAAGGCATCAATGAAGCTTTCCTCTTGCACCGTCCACTTAAAACCATTGCATGGAAATACCTTGGCACGCAAAATAATGGTCTATTTTATATATATATATATATATATATATATATATATATATATATATATATATATATGGATATATGTATATGTATAAACACATATATGCCAACGTCATACATACATATATGATATCTATGCGTTCGCGTGAAATAACCTGTAGATAAGCCGGTAGTAATAGCCTTATTCCTCGAAGAAACGCCAGGAGAATGAGATATAGATCGGTTGATATTGCGGCAACCCGCTTTTATCGAGACACTTCTGTTATTGTTTCGATAAAGGCGTGTTGCCGAAATTTGAACCAATCTATATCTCCATTTTCCTGGTTTTTTTTTCTCTGAAGAATAAGGCTATTACTACTGTCTTATCTATGTGGGTAATGTTCCTCGCAAATGCACTAATAAACTTGCATTGAGTAGCGAGGTAATAGCACAACTTGCGTGAAATAACCTGTTTTGGCCACGTATGTTGTGACGTTTTTGTGGACGAGCGGCGCAACGACGGAATGAGCGCCCAAAAGTCGTGCTTAAATCGGTTTTAGTGAAAGCACTCTACAACTCGGCTAGAGTTAAAGCACACCCTCATCGCACCAGTACGCGTGAGGTGCGCACCATGCTTTAACTTTAACTGTAAAAGATTCTGGTGGCCTTGGTGCCGTCAAACAACGGCGTCAACGCGATTTACAAACCAGGTCGCACTTGCCAGTCAGTAGTAACGTTTAATCAGCTGTTCACAGACTAAGCGTTTAGCGTGGAGTCATTTATGGCGCACCAGATCGCGTTTTGCTTGCCATGAGGCGTGAAGTGTTGCGGCTTTCTGGAACTTGATAGCGTCAGTCACACTCATCCGAAATTCGTTTCCAATATGAAATGAATCATGCTTTAAAAACATGTTCTTAGTGAGATTCGAGGCCTCGCTACTGCACGCAAGCAAGAGTGCTCAGTCATCGTTCAGGCACTGTTGACACTGCTGTGTATGCAAAGGACAAGGTTGTTATTGAAATAGTGTTTGTAGTGCAGAAATGTTTTAGTCATATGTTGTCCGTGACACAAATGAATTTGTGACGTTTGTTTCTCACTATGTATAACATTGCTTCTTTGTGAAAATGACACTTGTATGGTTTCAAATACTAATCACCTTGGAGTTATGGATGCCCATTTTGTCATTACAGAAGGCGTAGGTGTGCATATTATGCAGGAAAGAAAGGGGATCGCATGAAAAAGGTAGAAATGCACATTAGGCAGTAAATGCCAGCTAAACAATGTTCTCCAGAGTAACACTATCGTCACATTTCCTTACTTCCACGGCATGGGTTGCAAATATTATTTTGAAGTGCCTTATGATGCATTGATGATAATCCAAAATAATGAGAGATTTATTATTTGTCCATGAGGATATGGTTCTAGACCTTAAGAATCTGATCTACTTGACCAAGAGAACTGTGAGTCTTGGCCCTTCTGTGAATCTGAACTTTCCTTCCAATCAGTCAAACTTATAGGCTTCAAAGCGAATGAAATGTGACAACTCCAGCAGGAAATGTTATTTTCAAAACAAGCACTAAAACAATAAATATGGGTATGATTCTCAAACCTTTTTTAGTCAGACGGTATGTTGAGGTCATGTACAAGCATATAGTGTCAGGAATGACAAATGCGATTTCTCAGCCCTAGTCTTGAAAAATTAGCTCAAACAACAAATAGACTTGAAGGTGAAATTGGGACTAGTTAACCGGAAGTGAAAACAATGCTTGCGGGCCTTTGCCTTTTTCTCCAGTACTGCCCTGTGGGTCGGAGCGGGCTTCAGCATTTTGGTGTGGGGCGGACACGGGTTTTCCAAATCTGCCAAATTGGCAGCACTAGTAGGAACAAGTTGTACCAAAGCCAAGTCATCAGAAGCATACCGTAACGCACACACAGCGATGAATAATTGAATACATTGCCCCGCTTTAAAGAACGCTGCTCATTGACCTAAGCCTTGCAACTTAAAAAAAACAATCAGGATATACCATTGATATGCTGGGTACGTCCCGCAAAAACTGTGGAGTCCATTGCCCGCTCGTCGCCACACGTCGATGCGTACTTTACGCAGACCCCCCCCCCCCCCCATCGCACGTGCACCGCACGTGATCCCTTGTCGCCACTGCGTATGTCAATACCGTGCAGCGTTTACGTTACGGCACCCAGCGCCGCGACCGTGACGTTCCTCCTAACGGCACCCCGCGTGAGCACCAGCCTCCCCCCCCCACCCCCCCCCCCCCCCCTCGGGGAGGGACCAGATCAGGTGGCGCCATGCCGCCCGACCTTGGCATGAATCGGCGCGCGGCGCTGGCAGCGGCGGCGCTCCAGTTCAATTCGTCAGAAGGACGTGAGCACTGCACGCAGGCGTGCACGCGCCAGTGCCGTGCCAGAGGCTCCGATGGGTGGTATCCCAGCAGCGGATCTGACACGTGCGGCGTCAGAGGAAACCCCGAGAGCCCCCCCGGGCCCGGTCAACATGACGCAACGGCGGCGTGTGGTGCTGTTGGCGCCGTGCCAGCTGGCTCGGAGCACGGAGCGGGTTGTACGTGGTCGGCATGCCGCAGGCGATTCGCGGGTGACGCACGGCAACGTTGTGCGGCTCCTGATGCGCCATTACCGTGATCAGCCACCCAGCTATGGAACGTTTAGTTTCCGCAAGGTTCAGAGCTACGTCCGGTGGCGGAATGTAACGGCGCTGACTTGCCTCAATGAGTACTAAGTTAAACGTAAAGTTACAGCATGCGAGCGACTCTCTTCAAAAGGTATGCAGGACATGGCTGGCCAGGTACCGCTAGATGGAAACGTAACCTGACGATGGAAAGCTTTGCGGCAGAAAGGCATTCGAGGCTGCATGCAAGAAAACATGAAATGACGTAACGAACGTCCAGTAACGATTAATGTCTTTCGGACAATACGTTCGTCATGACCTTTCTCGATTGCGAACTGCAAACCACTCTGGTTTGAGTGGTGTTGAGAAGGGTACCAATGTTGTAACGGCTAAACTACCCGTCTGGAAAACCTGAGGTGCGTGGTTCGAATCCGCGCGGTGCTCCCCCCCCCCCCCCCGCCCTGTCAGAGTGAAAGACGCGTTACGCCGGTACCGAGCGTGTTATAAAGCCCTTAAGGCAGGGTGTGCTGAGAATAGTAACTGTGGCTGTAAATTAATCGAAATATTCTCCTGGTAGCCATGCGTTAAGGGTCGGTCTCCCGGGATGCCAAACGAATTACACACCAGCGGAAAGGGAGAGAAGTCTGCTACTGAGGACGCGCGGGGTGTTACCAGATATCAAAACGCGCAGCGTGCATGGCTGAATGACTGCAGCAGTTGGTGGACAGGATGTAAAATATACTGTACTTCACACTGGAATGATCCCAGGATGGTTTATACAGGGATAATTAATTAACAGACCTTTTCGTAGTGTTGAGAGCGAAGAAACCGTTTTACACGAAGCTGCTGCTCGCGGTCCCACACAACCGACACAATTTGTGAATGACCAATATACATTTATAAATCCGAACATGAAAGATGAACACAGTGCTCGCTACATGATAAACTGAATGTGGCATGAGGTTATTCAAAGAGGCTCGTCACAGCATCTCTGTATATGTCCTGACTACTTGATAAAAACGCGCGTATCTAGAACCTTTGGGCACTACACACAAGCAAGCAAAACACAGCAAGTGCCGGAGTCACCCGCAGTCATGGTAGCTCACGACCGGACTACGCGAGAGCGAACTGAATGAGCAAGCCTCTGACAGAAACGTCGTTGCAATAACCAGTTAGTACGACTGACGCACCAGTAGTTTCATGCAGCTGGTTCTGATCTGAATCGACAGCAGCATTTTCACGAAACTTCCTGAACCATTCAACACATTCACTGAAAAATATACTTACACATACAATGCGCGCGCATCACACCACACACGCATCCTTAACGCGTCCGCGTGGACGATAGATTGGAACAGACTTCGTGTTGCCCGACCATGTCCGGTGCTTTACGACTAGCTCAGCATACGCCAGGCAGTAACAAATAACAGAGCAAGTGGTGGAGTGAACGTAGCGAACGCCGTTTCCATGCCAGATACCGCTGCAGCCCCTCGCGGCTGTCAACGCAGGCGGCCACGGGCTTGCGGATGTGGCAGCTGGAGGTGACGGGCACACTGTGGAGTTCGGCACTCCTACGTCTCCCACATCAGGTTATACATGTCCAGGCCAGACATGATGGTGGCGTCCTGAAACATAAAAGTTTCAGCGTAGGTGGCGTTGTCGGTTGTCCGCCCCTCCCCCTCCCAAACCACCACAACAGAACATCTGGTAGATGTGTCTGTCGGCATTGTGACGGATCGCATCGCGGCTCAAATGTGTATCTTGTCCCTAAAGCTCGTGAGCGAAAAACACAAAACACGGACACATATTGCAAAACGGCGTAAGCTCTCAGAGGTGGAACATGCAAATTGGGTCGCATATAAACAGGAAATTCAGCTAAAAATAGCCTGGAAAAGCGTTTGCGAGAAGAGAAGAATGTTCTGCCATTTTGTTTCAGATGATTTCACCCACCGGGCAGCATCGTAGGGTTAATGCCAATTTCCACAAAAAACAAACACAAAAAAATGATGAGGCGGCCCCTCGAATTGGACAGGCTATGTGGCATCCAACTCCCTGTGCTCTTCCACACAGTTGTTACAACTATCGTCTTAGTATCAAGTGTTGAGTTGCTGCGAGAACACACCCATCTCTCCAAATACGCATGTAACCACATTTGACTACAGCGCCACCTCACCTTTGAGCAGTATGTCATGAACTCTTCCAGGGTGATGATGCCATCATGATTTGCGTCTATTTTCTGAAATTGCAACACAGGTGTTGGTAAAATTGGAATTACTTTACGTCCACCATATCCTCGCGAAACATAGCATTTACACAACATCATGTCGCACAGTATCCCCATCACTCATGCCCGGCATGGCTATCATCATGGCAAGGCTCCCTAACACAGGCCGGAGTGCGCTTTGTTTGAGGCTGGTCGGCATGGAAAAAACAGCTCATTAAGCATGACCATGTTTCCTTAAACATTTCGGTCCGAACCGTACCCAGGGAGGCTGGAGAGTGGAGAGTGTAGGGAAAATGTCTTGGCAGCAAATCGAGGGGTAGGAAATAAGGCCAAACGCTTTCTCCCTGAAAGTCTGACATGGGCAAAACACGGAAATGAACGAAGTAAATGCCACGCTTGCCTTGAAACTTCCAGTTTCACAATTACTCAGAGTTCCACTCACAATGGAAAAATGACCGTCTCCTTGGAAGTCGTTAAACTCTGAAATCGACTGTTCAGGTACTCACTGGTACTCACCAGATTCAGAGTGCCAGATTCAGCCCCGACTCAAGTTTTGAACCTTCCTGGATTAGATTCAACCCATACCAGCAGCGTCCGGTGCCTGCCGACAACTCACAGTGAACAGGTCCTGCCCTCTTTCTTCTGGTGAAACGTGGTCCGACTGTGTTGTATCAATCAGCCGATAGATGGCACCGACCACTTGCAGCATTTCGTCCTCGGTAATGAAGCCGTCGTTGTTGACATCGTACAGGCTGGAAACACGCAGACATCGTGTTTTAATTAGAAACTGCACCTGAGACTGCCGCAGTTTGATGGGTCACACCTGCCCAGGACTGGTTCAATTTGAAAGACTGATGCAGTGCCGAATGGATGGTGTGGAAACGGGGGCCTTAGGGGTCTACGGAGCGCAGCGACATTCTGGCAGCATTAAACACCGGTGTTGAGGGGCGGCATCGCAGGAGACTGCGTTAGCCAAGACTGCTGCCAGTCTTCCCTTCAACGCAAAGGCACATCCTTACGCAGCTTTGACAGCCAGCTGAACTTTTCTATTATTGTTTCAGGATTCTCTACGTATTTCTAGGTAGCAGCATGAATGTGGGTGATGGAAGCAAGTTTCACTCGAAACACAACCTAAAGCTGCTTATGACCGAGGAATGAATACGCGAATGAAGCAGAAAACCACATGGCAATGGCAAAAGCATGGCAATTCTGACACATCGTCTTCTGGGTTAACAGCTGCAAACAGCTGTCACCGACGCTAACCCGGCAATGAACTGGCCCCCCAGCGGCAGACCGTCGACTTGTTCATGAACCGTCTATGGTCAAGGTGAAATGGATGACCTCGGTGGCACATAATTGATTGGGTATGCTTTCGCGTTGTTTTCGACGGTTCAGTCCCACCGACAACGCACCTTAAACACATCAGCCCCGCTCCAGTCACGTGGTCGTCGCTTTGCGTGTGAAACTGATAACGGCCTCCGCCGCCCCGTCATCGCGCCGCGCCGCTGACCTGAGCCCCGCCGGCCGCGGCCGCGGGCCCACCCGGGCACGGGCGACATGCGCTGTGATACGTTTCAAGTCATAACTCACCCAGTTACACATAATTGCTTGTAACTTGACACAATAATCCTTCATAGTCGTATCCAAGATACCTTTTTCATGCCCTCATAATTTTCAGCCTGAGATAAAAAAAAATTGTTGAGAACTTTCTATAACTATTTTTGTTATTCGACATGCCGATATTTCAATGTGTAATATTGTAATAACACCACGACAAGTCATCTGAATGATTGTAGCAGATTTTTAACTGCTTGCGTGATAGTTTTATTGGTGACGATCCCGCTCGTGCCAGTCCTCGCGAGTCAGGCAAAGATAATATTACGTAAGTTGTTCAGTGCATTCGCGACGAAAATTATGCATATAGATAAAACATTTACATATAAAGCAGAATTTACTTCTGCTATTCGATTCGGCAAAGACGTGTTGCCGCTTATCAAAGTTAAATATTAGTCTATACCCTCCTCTTGTCAACAACCTACACTTACCGACACTCAAACAATGACACAATGTCAACAACCAACAGCAGCCTTACGTCTTCAGATCCAGTGAGCGTGCGAACATACACGGTAACAAACGGTTTGCCCTATGTGCTACCTCCAATGGAAACGAGCCACGATCATGTGCCGCAGAAATGATGTGATTGTTAACCAATGAGAAGCGAGTACAACATCGTACGGTGGTCGGCTACGTCAGTCACAGAGCGTGGGCTGAGAAACGAATCGCTGTCCGATCGCAGAGCGCAAGGAGAATGGGGGATGGGGGGGGGGAGGGGGGCGCAGGAGCAAGCCGGCCGAAAGATGACAGTTCAGTCTAGCTGTCCAGGTACAGGTCAAAATCGCTTTTACTGCTCTATTCTAGCTGGCTTCGTGACTTAAGTTTCGACATACAGATACCTGGATAGTGACATTTGAATGACAAATGTCAAACACTCACTGAAATCGCGCTTAACGCCTTGGGTGTTTGTCCTTTGCGGTTGGCTGGTAATTGCAATTTTTCTGGTGCTGTTCTTGCGACATCTACTTAACATTCAATATGTGCCACTCGAAACATGACAATATTGCAGAAGAGCACTTTCCAGGTGTAACTGTTACGCCCATAACTTAAGCCGTGGGTTGCATAAAATCAAAGAAGGGTGAAGGCAGGGGGGGGGGGAGGAAAGGAGAGGACGTGCCCAGTGACGAGAGGACCCACACGTATTACCCCTCCCGTGAGGAACTTCTGGTGATTTCAGTAGATCTGACGGCTCTTGGCTGGCGCAAGCCGAGCTTCCTCAGCTTCCAATCAGGCTGAGTCATGAATTTCTCATGCTCCAGCGTCACCCAGCCATGGCACAGAGCTCAGCCAACGCGTGAAGCTGTCGGGCCTCAAAGAAGACAGCAAAAACGGACCAGCAATAGTGCTTAAGACATTTCGCTGCAGAACTGAAACATAAACACATGAACTCGGGCACCCACTGACTTAATCTGATAAGAACGGTGCCACGCCTTCGCCACGCCAAGCCTTCCATGGTGGGTCTAAGTTTGAACTGCGGAGGGTTGCAGACCAAATCTCGTGAAAAGCAGCGTCTCAAGTTGTACAACCTGGTCCTGCAGTGTCGTTACCACGGGGGGGGGGGGGCAGCGTGTCGACCCACGGTGGGCTTACGAGGATGGGACCACCCCAGTAGGGGGGCGCGGACCACAGCCGGGACAGGCGTGTGCACGTATCACAGCGGGCGGTGACCCGGCTAGTCAGGAAGCAGCGGGGTATCAGGGTGGCAGTAGACCAGGAGGACGTTTGTTGGCGACTAGTGCTGCTACTCGCGAGCAGATTCGTGGGTGTTGACGCTCAAGTGGGGCTGATTCGTGTGCGTTTAAGCATGGACAGCAGCAGTGTCGTCTAGACTTGCCTCTGCGTTGACATCTTCGATGTGAGTAAAATCGTGCGTGGAAATGTGAGCCGGTGTTGAGCATGGACATGTTAATAAAGAATCAAATACACTGACCTTTTTCCTGAGGAGTGGGCAATTGGGAAAGACGAATGCAATTTGTGGACTTGTGCTTGAGGATTTTTCAGTTGTTTGCTCACGTCATGCAGCTATGGTAAACCGTAAGACACTACAAACCAATGGTTTCGTCGTTATTCACGGTGAGATCCCAGCGCGTCTTGAGTTTATTCCATTTGGACTATGGGCAGCCGAAAGTAGAAGCAATTACCTAAGATCATTAGCTTTACTTATGAATGCAAATTTTAAGTGATGTGGAACATTCACTTAGCAAGGAGATTGAATTCTAGAATACAAACCTCTGCCCACGGGAATAGGGCAGCTGCGCAGAAACAAGCGAACACATTAAACTATCAGCACACAAATGGCACGGGTGCTGTCATTAGAGCGCGGATTAGCTCATTACCCGCCACCAGTCCCGCATCAGTAACACGCATCCTCCACACATCCAGTCGCATTTTGTCCCCCCAGTTAGTTTAAATTATGGAAGCGTTTCGAAAAGATTTACACCAAAACGCGTGCTTTGCTGTTGATGATTGCAAACGTGGTGTGAATAGAACTGAAAGTGACTGACAGAAGAGAAGCAATAACATTGTGTAGTATTTCCTGAAGTATGTTTCGGGGATTTCGTAAACGTCTTACCTGTACCGATATTAATAACTGTAGCTTCGTAGATCTGCAACAAAGCCAACTCGTTACCCATTCCATGTGGTCCAAAGGGGTACCCATATGTTTGTCCAAGCCGTGGGATTCGCTAATATCAGCCAGTGCCAGGTTTGGCCATCCGTACTCGCGCATCGGTGGCTTTTAATGGACACCAAGTGGTGAGTAAAAGGGCGGTCTGCGTGACTTTATGCTTCGCAATAATTGGCAAAACCAATCCTTCTGAGAGGCGAATTTGAAATGTCATGCCTTTTCATATAACAGAGCACACAGACGTCTCTCTTCACATCTCCCGCCTTTTGCCTCTCGCACACGGAAACGATCTATAATTGTCTCACTGCAGACTGACCAATGACGTCATACCGCACCAAGTGGCGTGCTGATCCCAGACCGCTCACATGGTGTCTTCTGCTGCCTCGTTTAGAGAAGAGCTTGGGGGGGGGGGGGGGAGCCGTCCGGGCCACAGACGGGTCAAAACGGCCTTACGACGCACTCAGCAGCCGGCGCTACATGACGTCGCCTGCATTTCACCCCGGCAGAAGCGGCGGGCACCACGAGAATAGAACCCAGTAGCTCCAGTTTCCTTTACGCGCGGCTCCATCCCCGCTCTACCGCTGCCCCGGGCTGCAGATGACCGCCACGACCGCTAATGGCGCCTCTCTGGCCGCAGGCAATTGGGCTGAGTGCATTACTGGTCGCCAGTGTGACCAACGCCGACCAAGAACATAGACAGCTCCCAGCAAAACACGTCCGGCTCCAGCCATCTGACCCCGGATACGGACATTCAGCAGTTTGCGCAGGGCACCCCCAACGGGCTTCGGTGAAGGAGTTTGTGATTTTAGTGGACCTCTATTCCGACAGCTGTTCGGCTCCTTGAATATGCCGCGTTTTGGGGGCGTTTTAGAGTTTGACTCTGAAGACGAGATTAAACTCAGCAACGCCGAGGATGCGTGTTAGTATAACATAAAACATACAATCATACAACACGTATGATTGTATGTTTTATGTTACGCTATGTTTTTGTGACTTTGCGTAGGTTTTCACCACGTAAAGCAAAGCCCTGTGGCGGATGAAACTGGAGTCGTGGACTTGCACCTCTCCGACCAGACCCTTGTCCCTCCCAGCCTGCGCGAATGTTCTACTAATATCGAGTAAGTTACTTTTCTGGGCGGGCACTAGCGGCCAGTTGTATGCTGCTTTTTACTACGACCACTATTTCACCTCCCTTGCCTATTTTTGTTAATGACTTACGTAACCTGCAGATGGGCTTTGCAGCCTCGTTCTCTATTTTTTTTAACGTCCACCTCTTAGCAGGAAATGCTGCGACTTCGTTCTTTTACATTTTTAGTGTTGACGTAGGGTTCGGTGTGCCGCTGGGATAGTGGGAGGGCACGCCTGGTCGCTGTCCGTAGGTGACGGTCAGAAAAAAATGGGAGCGTCCGAAGAAGTTCAAATATTGCAGACTTGTTACTGGTGCTTTTAGTGCGTCTATGTTGGCGTGAATTCTGTCTTCTTTTGCGCCATTCTGAAGATCTGTTAAATAAC